TTTGTTTTCGTTTGTGCATGTTAATAGAGGAATGGGCATCCAAAATTTGGTGTCAAAACAGTTTATAGAAAAAAATTAAAAATAAAATAGTGTAGAGACATGACATTGTGATTGGGGCAATCTTAGCCCTCCATTAAAAAATGAACAGTTGGAAATGAGTTAGGAGATAAATGGAATTATTAGAGAGAGCTACTAAAGAGTGTAAGGACATGTTTAGAGAGAGAAAGGCGTTATAGAGAATTAGAGAGAGAAAAACACATTATGAGTGTGTGAGGATTTAAAGGATGAGAAGGCCCAGGATTAGGGAGAGAAATGGCATGGTAAGAGAGTTAGAGAGCCAAAGAGCACAGAGAGAAACAAAGGTAAAAAAGTTACAACTACAGAAAGAGAAAGACCACAACTAGAAAAAGGTGTTAGATAAAGACCATAATTAAAGAGAGATAGAGTATGGTTAGAGAATTAGAAAGAGAGAGAAAGGACGTGGGAAAAGGAAAAAAAAAGTGAGAAGCGAACTTCTTGAAAAATATGATAAGCAAACTTCTATAGTGGATAGAAGCTAAAGGTTTCCATTTTTTGAGAACGTAAAACTTCATAGAGCTAATTTACTATAACACTTTTTGTCAACAAATGATGAAGTGTTATAGGAGATTGGAACTTTCAACTTTTGAAGTTGGAAATTCCAGTTATTGAACATTCTCGTGATAAACTATGGACTTGTTAGGGCTGGCAACTGGCACTGGCAACATGCCTGGCTTGTGCCAAGGAGCCTAATCCATACAAGGCCAGATGCGCCTTGACGTAGGTATAGATTAAAAAATAGAAGAAACAATAAATAGGGTTGGGTTGTGCCATGGTCTGGCTCGTGTACCTGTGGAGCGCTCGGGCATATCATCTTCCATTGGAGTTTGATTTATTGTTGATTTATGAAAAGCTATCATAAATATACTTTTATTTTTATCTATCTAGAAAAAAACCCTTAACTTTATAAACCTTGTCCACATCCTTTTTTTTTCAATTTTAGGTTTTTTTTTACCAAAATAACCTTCACAGTAGTCTTATCTATCGTAAACCCATTTTATACGACATTTTATATATGGGTAAAAAGTTGAAGTATTATTACGGTACTCGAAATGGCGTACTAGTATCGCACCCTATAAACCTTATCCGAAGCCTTTTGTCGTTTATGGTTTTGTTTATATTTATCTCTTCTTTTTCTCTCTAATTCTTTTTATATCTCTCTTCTTTTTCTCTTTAATTCTTTTTAATATTTATCTATTCTTTCTCTCTCTAATTCTTTTTTATCTCTTCTTTCTCTCTCTAACTCTCTTTCTCTCTTTACTTACTTCATCAACTTAATAAACGCGAACCAACGTGCCAAGGAGATTTGTATAACAACCTGTGCGTACCTTACGCTCCCCTATAAAAACTCCCTTCAACCCCATTCAACTCCGTCTACAATTATCTCGCTGGTAAATCACTGGAAAATTACCTGAACGCGCTTTTGGCGTACCTGAGAAGGCCAATCCGTGCTTCTTCGTACGTCCTCAGTACTGCAATCTCGCTCGAAAAAGCATAGACTAATTCTTTCGTATCGAATGTTGGATTATTAGGAAAGAGATGGACTCCCAAACTCCTAAGATTTGTTGGTGGTGTCGTGAGACTGAGGATCGCATAGTGGAGTATTTTTCTGAACAATGAGAACTCAAAGCTTCTTTGCGTATGCCTCTCAATGGCCTTGAAATGCTTAGTTAGAGAGGGATGGAGGAGGTCGTTCTCCAACCTTCGGTTTTCTCCTAAAAACTCTGAGAAACATGACCCTGTAATCCTGGGGTTTGGGTGGTTATTTTCTACCCATTAGATAACGGCATTTTCTCTCTCTAAGAAGCTTCCCTATCTTAGTGATAAATATAGACTTTAAGATAAGGAGAGAAAGAGGGCCCCATGGCCACCCATACGTGCCAACATTCTCTCCCTTGGCCATGAGGGCTAGGTATATTGAAATAATATCATTTAATGAACCAACATTTATGAGCATATCATGAGAATGATATCCTTATCATGAGGCTTTTCACGCTAGTGCAGTTATATATCTCATACCAAAAAATATCCAACATCATATCATGGGTTTTTCACGCTAATGCAGTTTTTCCTCTCATGACCAAAGCATCAAAAATATCCCATTTGGGAGTTCCTGACTTAAATATTTCCAAGTCCCATCAAAGCTATATGCTTTGATAATATTTTTGTACTCAATCCCTTTGTTAAAGGGTCTGCAATCATATTTGAAGATGACAAATAACTTACAATTATTTCATTCTTCATAAATGTAATAATAATCGATTTTCAATGTGCTTACTTTTGGAACTATAAACACCATTTTCTAATTGATGAAATAGCAGCCTGACTATCACAAAAAAAATTAACAGGTTCGTTAATTATATCCAGCTTCAAAGTATTTATGAAGTATTTAAATGCTACAAGCAATATACTCAGCTTTCATAGTACACCGAGCTACATAACCTTGTTTCTGATTAGACCAAGAAACACATCCACCTCCATAGAGGAATACAAATCCTGATGTTGCTTTTCTATCATCTGGATCTGCTACAAAATCTGCATCAAAGTACCAAGTAACCTCTAAGTTATCAGCTTGGAAGCACAACTTGTAATTTTTAGTTTTTTGAATATATCTGAGTATCTTTTTACAACTTGCCAAGGAGTCATCTCATGATTACTCTCAAATCTACTTACAAGACCATATACATGACTCAAATCAGG